TATGGAAGATGGGTGGAGAGGGAGGTAGGGGTAGAGAGTAGTGGTGGGGGGGGGAGAAAAGATGATTAGGTGATGAGGGGGGAAGAGAAATAGGTTGGGGGGTAGTAGGTCAGTGGTAAAAGGTGATACCAGGCTCTTGGGTGTCCAAGAGCAGATTGCTACCAAGATCCACAGGATCTTGGCCTTCAAAATGTTGATGGCCTGATGCCACAGCAAAACAAAAAGGAGGTGATGATGATCTAGGGTTGGCTGAGATCTTGATCAGCCACCCTGCTGCCACAGTCATACAGCCCCAAGCCAGGGGGTGATCTTGAGCTGTTGCCAGACTGCTGTTGCAACAGTGTAGAGATAGTGAAAATATATATATATATATATATATATGTGTGTGTGGCGCAGCCCCCTAGCCAGGGGGGTCTTCAGTTCCACAGCCGGGGCGGGGGGGGGGCAAATAGCTTTGCCGCACGCTGCTCGCTGCTCGCCGACGGGGAAGGAGGGAGGGGTGTAAATAGTTGTTGTATCACCTCTTCAACAACAACCAGCCACAGTATCAATTCATACTGTGGCTTTGGCCAGTGTGTTAAGGCACTGGCCACGCATGCGCATGAGCAATAGCTCCCCAGGTTCAAACCCTGGCAGCTGCAACACTCCCGAATCTTGATGATATATATCCGGGAGCGAGGCGGGGCGGGGCAGCGGGGCAGCATGGGCGCTGGGCACGTGCGGTGGCCTTGGCGTTGGTGCTTGTGCTCACGCTCGTGGGCGCTGGGCGCGTGCGGCGGCCTTGGCGTTGGTGCTTGTGCGCACGCGTCGTGATGCTCCTCTCCTTTTCGCCACGTGTCCACTCTCTCCACGCTGCTGCTCTTTCCGCCATTTTTTGCTGTTTTCGCCCCCAAAAACCCTGAAAACCCCGCTATCGGAATTACACCGATTCCCGCTGTTACATGCGGGAGGAGGGGCGGGCTGGAGCGGGGACCGTTCCCGCTCTGATACCAGTGTGCCGGACCCGCCGGGATGGCGGTCCGACAGGATGGAGACGAAGGGGTAGAGGAAGGAGGAAGTGGAGATGGAGCCGGAAGGGACAGCGCAGCTCCGACGCAGACTCAACACCGCACGTACTCCAACAAGTGCAAAAATGATGAATGACGAAAAACAGACAACAACTGGGGTATACCCCCAGCGGACTGACTGGACTGGACTGGCCTGGTACCGACAGTGGTACCGGGCAGGACGGGACTGGATTGAAACAGTGCACGGCCTGTGGGGTCAGGCCACGGCCTGGTCCCACAGGCCGAACTGGCAAATAGCCAAATAGGCCCTGGCTGTAGGCCAGGGCAGGTGAAGGCCCGATTCACCCTCGCTCCAAGACGTCAAGGCCAGCAGCACGAAGGCCCCTATGGCCATCCATAACAAAATGAAGCAATGGATGGTATGGCCACACCTCGTCGAACCCACCGACGGGTCTTCGGAAGAAACGCCCGTCAGCAGCATAAAGCAGCAGGTTGAAGAGGGGGGGAGGAAAACCGAATTACCCCGCCGCAATCCTCACGGTCCACCATCACCGCCTTCCTTACGGCTCGCTTGCTCCGCCTCACGACCTCCAGCACACCCGTTCTCTGCTGGGACGGCAGCCACACGACCTCCAAAGCTCCTCCAACATGCTGCGGAGTCGCTGCCAGGTTCTTTCGCTGGGCCGCCGCGCAGCCGGCCCGTCCATCAACACGTCCTCCCGGCTGATTCCAAAATCATCTGCACACCCTATCCTTTTCTTTTCTCTTTCTTTTTTTTGGTTCTTGGGAAGTTGCACCCCCCATCCCACCCCCCGAAGATGTTCGATTCCAATTTTGCCCCGGCCCTATTTAGATGGAGCACGAACTTTTTGTGCGTGTCATCCTTTGGGCAAAGGCGAACTCTTTGGGCAGCTCACAAAAAGTGCGAAGAACGAAGCGTCAGCGCCCAGCGACGAAGGTGAGCTCGGTCCGAGTAGTAGACGAATGATACTGTCCTCAACATAAATAAAAATAAGTAATAACCACCTGTCGTTGGGCGTGGGTGCTTTCGTGAGTTTTCGGGGTTGGAATGACGTGACGAAAGCGGGACGAAACGGCGGAAAGTACCATGCTATTCGACCCACCTGCGGCGCAAGGGCCTACGGTAGTTGCATTGCATTCCTCGCCATCCGGCAAGATTTAGAATGCATCTGGCCGGAATTGAGTTCAGATGCATTCAAAACGTTGGCCGATGGCGACTACCGGTATTGCAACTGGGCGCCAAGTCCCGAACTTCTACTGGCGGGACATCGAAACGCAAGGTACTCCACAATTCGCCGGTCCATCTGCAACACCGGGGCAAGGTCCCACTTGCACGGAGTAAGAGATTCTGGCCGTTGATCTTTGCTATCTACGGTCGGCATCGCTTAATTCGTGTAAGTGGGACCTACTGTAGCCCCCGGTCCATCTTCACCACCACGCCGCCAAGTCCCATTACCTACCAGCGTTGCGTTTCCTCAACGTCTGAATCCGAACGTGTTTGTGGAGATGTGCAGAAATCAGGTTGAGTTTCCTCAACGGCACTCGCCACAAACACGTTCCAGAGATCGAGGGGTTGAGGAAACTGAAGGGAGCTCGAGGCTGCTACTGGGACTTAGGGAGGGAGTCTTTGACAAAAAGAACTACCCCTGTAGCCCCGAATACAACGTTCGGTCATTGTAGCTGTTTTTAGGATATCTTTCAGTCTACATACAATTATATATTTCAGTCTACATACAATTATATATTTCAGTTACGTTGTATTCGGGGGAAGAATGGACTGCTGTCGCGTTTAGTTGCTTTGCTTTGCCGCGCTCCATCGTCAAAAAAAAAGGGAGTGAGCAAGGAACAAGTTCCCGCAAGTTCCCGCCTTGCGCATGATAGCTCTTCTGCCTTGGGTTCGGTAGGCGGGTATTTCCTTTTTCCTTTTTCCTTTTTTTCCCTGTAGAAGAGGAAGGGGAAAAAAAAAGACAGTCTTTGACGCTCGGCCCGGCGTTTCGGGTTCTTGGTCGTCCTCTCTCTGCCTCTCTCTTCCTGTCTTCGTCTCGTTTCTTTTCTGACAAACAAAAAGGGTGACAACCTTGTGCTCTATACTTCCTCTAGGTAGTTTCGTTCGCCTCTTGACTTCTTCTTCCTCCGACTGCGCGTCGGAGTGCGCGTCGGAGGAGGAAGACCAAGGTGGATGATACGGCCGGCGGCAAGGAGGGGCGGGCGGGATTTGGCGCCTGGCGGGAGAAACTAATATAGGTCTTGAACCGGTCTGTTGGTCAATCTACGTACAGTCAATGATCGTTGATTCGTAAATCCCGACCTTCCCAGGTAGAGTGAATACTACCGGGGGCTAGGTCCCACTTGCACGAATTACGAGATACTGACCGTAGATAGCAAAGATCAACGGCCGAAATCTCCTAATTTGCGCAAGTGGGACCTTGCCCCCGTAGTGGACTCGATCACGCGATCTATCTGCCGCGCTTTCCCGTCGATTTCCGATCTATATCGCGAGTCCGCGAAGCCGAAAATTGCTTTTTTTTGTGCGCGGGAGGAAGAGAAGCTTGAGAGGAGCAAGAGCGCCAAAAGGCCCAAAACACACCCAGTGATCTTGTCAAACTGTTGGAACGATCCAAAGCTGTTTCCGATAGTGAAACGCACACGAACTGGCGGTGGGAAGCAGCGAGAAGGCGGAAAAGCAGCAGGACACGGAGCAAAGGAGGAAGAACAATTACAAGCGCAGATGCAGAAGCAGAAGCAGAAGCAGAGGCAGAGGGAGAAGAAGAAGAATAGTGAATAGTGGAAGCAGTGGCCATAGACTGCTTCTCGCGCAAACATCGACAGATTTACATTATTTCTCGGCATGTAGTACAGTTCTCAGCATGAAACTTCATCGCATTTTCCCCGCCGCGTTTCGGCCAGGCTGCGCTCTGGGCTCTCTGCCCCCGAAATCGCCTTGCGGCACCATTTAACTGTCTGACCAAGTGTCCGAGAAGAAGAAGAAGAAGAAGAAGGAGAAGAAGAAGAAGAATAGTGGACTAGTGGAAAACAGTGGCCAACTGCCTTCCGTACACGCATCGAAAGCTCTTCATTACAAAGCCGCGCATACTCGTCTCAGCTCTCGCGCACAATCTGACCAAGTGTCTGAGAAGAAGAAGAAGAAGAAGAAGAAGAAGAAGAAGAAGAAGAAGAAGAAGAAGAAAGAAGAAGAAGGAGAAGAAGAAGGAGAAGGTCAAGAAGAAGGAGAAGTAACAGTGGCCAACACGGCTTTCTGCTGCTCAAGCTTTCTCGCAGAATCCACATGCACGAGTCTCAGTTGCGTGCAGAAGAAGAAAATACAAGTGATAAAAATGATAACAAGGAAGAGAAGGAGAAGAAGAAGAATGAATCAGTGAAAGCCAATCGCTTGACGCACGCGCTCCGAGGATAAGATCAATTACTATTACATCTCGACGTACACAATGCCATAGTTACACGACGAGCTCATTCTCCGACGCGTTTCCGCCCGCTGGTAGCGCACCAGCGTCCTCAGGGAGCGTACCATTCACGTTCGGCCCATCGTTCCTTCCACCCGCGAAGCATCAAGAGAAGAAGAAGAAGAAGAAGAAGAAGAAGAAGAAGAAGAAGAAGAAGAATAGTGAAAACAGGGGCCAACTGCCTTTCGTACACGCTTCGATAGTTCTTCCATACATAGCAGCGCGTACTAATCTCAGCTCACGCGCACATTCCCCGACGCGTTTCGATCGGTTGCGCTCCGATCATCCTCAGGGGGCTCCCCACATGACCCTGCCTTGCGGCCCGCCGACAATCCTCCCAACCTTCTGAGTATAAGAAGAAGAAGAAGAAGAAGAAGAAGAAGAAGAAGAAGAAGAAGAAGAAGAAGAAGAAGAAGAAGAAGAAGAAAGACATGATGGATGGTCATGCGGATGGGAGGAGGACGTTGGGGGATCGCGAGGTAAGCGGAGCGAATGGGAATGGGGATGGCGTGGGGTTGCTCTTACAGCACGGATCGCGATTCCGTCCAATAGATCTGGACGTGGAGGATTCCTCCTTATCACCATTTTTATCGATGGAATTGAACGGTAGTGATTCTTCCTTTGGGTCGGCAGGGGCGTCGTCGTCGATGTGCGAGCAACTGAACTTGGGCTTGACTCTAGGATCGTCATCTGGGATGCTCCATTCGCCTTATCCTGCGGCGATGGCAGGAGGACCGGCTTACGGCGCCATGGGTTTGGCTGACGGAGCAGCTTTCGACATGCCGGTCATGGCGGAGGGACTGGATTTTACCATGATGACTTTGCGCGCTTTGACGGCGGGGAATTCGACGACGGCATCGTCGTGTCCACCGTCGATGTTCTCGGATCTAGGAACTGTTGTAGGAGGAGGATTAGGATTGGGAGGAGGAGGATTAGGATTGGGAGGAGGAGGAGGATTAGGATTGGGAGGAGGAGGAGGAGGAGGAGGAGGAGGAGGAGGANGTGTGTGTGTGTGTGTGTGTGTGTGTGTGTATGTGTGTGTGTGTGTGTGTGTGTGTGTGTGTGCGTGCGGGCCACGCGTGCGGGGGGAGGGGGCCAGGCGAGAGTGAGCCTGAGATGATCGAGCTCTCTCTTTTTTCTTTTTCTTTTTTTCGAGCTGTCTTTTCTTTTGGTTGTTTGTGCATACGTTGCCTTTTTTTTTTTTTTTTTTTTTTGTGGTGCATACCTTGGTCTTCGGTCCACTACTCACCAAATGTTCAAAATAAGAATGAATCTTCCGCTACTACATGGGAAGATACAACGCCATATTTTTTGGTTCTTCGTGCATGTGGTAAGTACTGGCGCGAGGCCCCTTGTCTTTGATGGGGGCCGGACTGGGGAAACGACGGGAAGTGGCAGGTGGAGGGAGTTTTTTTTTTTTCCCCCTTTCTCTTTTTCTTTACCCTTTCGACTAATAACAATAAGCTGAGAAAGATTGTACAAGGCCTGTCTCTTATACACATCTAGATGTGTATAAGAGACAGGAGGAGGAGGAGGAGGAGGAGCATCAACAGTAATAACTGGAGCAGGCAGAGGAAGAGGAGGGAGAGGAGGAGGAGGAGGAGAAGGAGGAGATGGAGGTGGTGGTGTGCAGATGCTTATGCCTGTGTATGACGACGTCGATCTTGATATTCTCAATGAGAACCCCATGTTCTTTTGCTCTTACCCTGTTGGCGTGGGAATGATGGATTTATGGAGCTTCGGAGAGGGAGAAGGGGGAGTAGAGGGAGGAGCAACGGGGTCGGAGGTGCACATAGACGAACTTGCTGTGAATGCTGGACTTGGGATATCGCTCGCACCGTCACCGTTGTTAGCGCCTGCTGCGCAAGATCCTCTTGCTGCTGCTGCTCTTCCTCCTGCTCAGCTCGTTCAGCTACAACAGCAGCAGCAGCAGCAGACTCTTCCTCTCCTTCCCTTCATGCAGGATTTCCTCCGAGGCGATGGCTATGGCTATGGCGATGGAGGTGGCGCTTACGGTGATGGTGGGGATGGTGCCGCCGCGGAAGATCCGCCCATATTTCCGTCTTTCCATTTCGGGCAGGATGATAGACCACCAACTCCTCCGCCGATGCTTCATGAGGCTGGGCCATCGGGATCGGGAGAGTCGGCCCCTATCGCCCTTATTAGTAATTCTCCCATTCCCGACCGAGTAGCGCCAGTGGGACTGGCGGCAACGGCGGCGGCGCAAGATGAGCATCACCGGGGGGAGATCGGCTTGCACCAGTTTATCCCGCCTCCTGCGCCGAGGCTTCACGCCACTTCGCAGCCGTTGGCTCGGTGGCTCGCCAATAGGCGTCCTCCTCCTCCTCCTCCTACTGCTCCTCATCAGCAGCGGCCGCAGCTTCAGCAGTTTGAGCAGAATCAGCAGCATCAGCAGCAGGTGCAGGACGCCCATCCTGCTCGGCAATATCTGGAGCCGCTGCCGATCCCTAATCGCAATCCCCATGATGGGTATCGGGATCCTGATCCCGATCCGGATCGGTTTCGTCATGGAGAACCGAAAGCGGAGAAACAGAAGGAGGAGGCAGAAAAGGAAATTGCGGCGAAGGTGGCCGAGGGTGTAGAGCTAGTGGTCGCTGTCTTTCCTAATTTGTGCAGGGAATACGCCAAGGGCAAGCTGAAAGAGGAATTTGGGAGGAGGAGGTGGGTAGCAGCTGATGTCTCCCTCAATCGTCTGAATGGGATCCCCGCCGCGGTGTCGGTAGATAGCGCGGTGGAGCGCGTATGCGACGCTATTCTGTCCGGTGATGGTAAATATCCAAGAGAGCCAGAGGAGCAGGAAGATGACAAGGGTGGGAGAGACAGGGAAAGGGAGGTGGACACTACTGCTGCAAACGCTCTTGCTGGTGAAGATGCGGAAGGAGGATACAAAACTGCAACGGCGGCTAACGGTCCTTTACAGGATGCTGATTTAGATCCGTTTGTAGTGCGACCGCTGCCGCGCGGAGCAGGGCACTGCTACGGCGACTGGTGTCTCTGGCGGTTGTTCACCGATTTTCCAAAAGTGGCAGCGCGGGACGTGAGGAAATGCCTCAAAGCGCACAGGGGTAGGATTGGACCGGCGCATAGATCTTTACATGGAGAGATGCAAAAAATTTGCGCTCAAGGAGGAGGAGGAGGAGAAGACAGTGGTGGGGTGGGAGCGAATTTGGGACCAAAAGGAGGAGGAAATCCGGCAGGAGCTCTCTTGACAATGGCGGGAGCAATGAGTCCAGCGGGAAGAGGAAAGGAGAAGATGCTTATGGAGGCAGATGTGGAGCTGGACAGACTTGCAGTGGAGCGGCGGCAGGAAGAGCGCGAAGAGGTCGGAAGGGATGGAGGGAGTAATAATGCTTCGGAGGGGAGCAATAATTCTAAAGGTAAGTGCGTCGAAGATGTCAATTTCTTCCCTTGACAATCAATCAATCAAAAGTGTG